AAAAAAAAAAAAACAAAAAAAATCCCCTGAATATTTATGAAAACCCAAAATGGCCTAATGGTTGATTGTATTGAATGCATCGCATCTTCTCCTCACTTCTCCCTTTCCGTCGGTTTTCACCTCGCGAACGCTCATCTTCTCCATGGCGTGTCCAAAATCCTTGAAGAATAATGCCTGGTTCCCTGCGTACATCTCCACGAATTTCCTTGTCCTCGGATCCTTCGCCAGCGCGTGATCCGACGCCGACACTCCCATTCCTCTCAGCAGATTCTGGTAGTATACGTTGTCGAACTTCCCTGGCGTTACGGGGTCGCTGTACGCCGAACTTGCTGGATTCTTCTCGTAGTCGGCGCAGGACTTCATCAACGCCTCCGCGTATTTCGAATTAATCTCAGGATCTGTTGGCGTGTTTTTGCTGAAATTGAAGAGCCGATCGCTGAATTCCCTGCAATTCGAGAATCCGATTGTGCGTCCGCCGTATAGCGCTACCATTTCTTGAATCGTGAATCCTTTCGCTTCGAATAGCTTAATCAATTCGTCAATTGATTGATTCGGTTTCGGAATGTTACCTTCCACATCTGAAATCTTCGAGACGAGGCTATCTTTTCTCCCTAATTCAACTTTGTACGACGGTCCACCTGAGGCCGCGATGAGATCTCTAGTCGCCTGCGCTAACACATCAGAGCAAGAGACTATCCCAGGGCAAGAGAGCTCTAAGGTGATCTTCGCACGAGTGACAACGTCGAAGGCATCACCAGGAAGAGCGTGGTTGATTTCAGCATCGCGCTCGGCGTGGTTGAAGACATTGGATGAAATAAGAACAGAGGCATCGCAGCCTCCAACCAAACAATCGCTGAAGAAGAGGCGCATAGATGCAGCGGCGGTGACGGGGCTAGTAGCGTGCTTGCGGGCGACAGTGTCGTGAACGATTTTTGCGAAGTCGGGGCAAGTTTTGTGGTAATAATCGAGAGAAAGCTGAGAGTGAACTGAGAATGGAAGAGATAGGCAAAGTAGAAGAAGAAGAGCGGTAGGGTGGAAGAAGGCCATGGCGGGGAAGAGGAAGGAGGTGGGGGACAACCTGCTTTCTCTGGATGTGGAAAAGTGGAAGGTGTGTGTGTAGTGTGGTGAGGAGGAGGAAGAAGGAAGCAATTGCGGTGCGTGGAAAATGGAGGGATGAATGGGGGATTAAAAAGGAGATGGAGCATTGGTTGGGAGACATTTTGGGAGATTAGTTAGAGATGGAGAATTGATAAAGGTTTGATGTTATTTTTGGTACAATCCAGTAGGGTGTACACGTGTTGGATTGGATTGTGGAATTTTTTTAACCTATCTGAATAGATAGGGTTAGTGTTGTTCAACTTGAGAATAGATAGGGAGTGGAGAAACGACCTATTGTCGAAGTCTGACAAGAAATACAGAGCCAAAGTTCGACGAGACACACAGAGCCAAAGTCCAACGAGAAACATAGAGCAGAAAAGTCCGACGAGAAACACAGAGCGGAGAAGTCCGACGAGAAACACAGAGCGAAGAAGTCCGACGAGAAATACAGAGCGGAGAAGTCCATCGAAAAACACAGAGCAGAGAAGTTCGACGAGAAACACAGCGCATAGAAGTTTGACGAAAATGAAACGGAAAGTTGAGTAGAGAGACAGTCGACGACGACGTCGACAAGGTCAAGTGGAGAAATGAGAGATGAGAAGAGAGTGTGATGGAGAAATAAAGAGGTGACTGGCAAGTGACGTTGATGTCCGATATAAGATGAGAACGACGTCGGGATTATTAATTCAATGTGGGTTGCGTGGGTTTGGACATTCTTTTTAGGATTTCAGGTTGGGTTGAGCTGTCCTAATAATTTGAATTTTGAACCCGAACTCAACTCAAACCAAATCGAGTTCCAAAAAATGAACTCAATCCAAACTCGAAGTTCTTTTAAACCCAACCCAACTCTTATAATTCGAGTTAGGTTCTCAGGTTGGCGAGTTGGATGCACACCATATAATCAAGCCGAGTACTTTCTCAATAATCTCAATTTTTCAAGCATGTGTCTGTTTTCTATACTTTGTTCCCTTCTAGAATCTAATAATTTTAAAAATTCCGTGTCAACTCTCTCCCATTTACTCATAAATATTTTAAAAATTGAGTATCTAAAATAAATATTTTCTTTACTCTCTCCTTTAGGATGATAGGAAAGTCTTCAATAAAAGTTACCTTTTTTTTATATGGTTGTATTTAATAAATAAAAAAACACATTATTTAGATCATCTTAGATGTGATATTATGATTCAAATTAACATTAGAATATAAATTATACTACTAGTCTATTACATTAGTAGATAATTAAAATTGTTCAAAATAACCGGTTAATAATTATAGTGATTAGAAATTATAATATAGACAAGTCCCCGCACTTCCACATTAGGAGATCTCTATCTAATATTGTCAATCTCCTAAACTACTAAAATGAACAAAGCAAATCTCTCATTTTATCGAGAGACTTTAGATAATGTCGTAATGTATGGTCTTATCCAAGTCTGCACAAGAATCTTACTATTAGAGGTGAATTTTACTAGTGGGGACGAGATGGGGATTCCCTATTTAGACAAGGAATGAGAGAGGGAGTGAGCGAGAAATATTTTTTTCCGATAGAAAATATTTCATTTCTCATCCCCGCCTAATTTTCCATCCAACTTAATATAAATATATTTTCAACACACATATATAAACAAGTTTTCTTTACTCTTGATGTCAAGATCGAGTAATCCATTCTAAAACTTTTCCTTTAATTGATTTCCTATCGTTTTAGAGGTATTGCGATAAATAATTCAGATCTAAAAGTCTTGTTCCAACAGTAAGATCGAATTTAAATTTGAGTTGAATTTGAATAACAGAATGATTTGGTTCATAATTCACCATGGATCATATTACAATTGCATATCATAACAGCAAAAGTTAACATTTGGAAAGTAAACCATTTTCTAAATTGAAGCTAAGAAACAGGATTCATATAAATGAAGCAACAAAAAAATCAACTTTTGGTAGAGAGAGGGTTCATGGCAGCTTGAATTTCTTCCAAAGTTTTGCCCTTTGTTTCAGGCACAAACTTTGCAACAAACAAAACAGTGAAGCCACATATGGTTGAGAATATGAAAAAGATACCTTCCAAAACAAACAAACAAACAAACACCAAATGATTACTCATCCATTTGAACACATTGAAAAGGTGAGAATTGTGGGGTTCTTACCTGCAGAGCTCCAGTTTAAAAGAAAATTGAAACTGTATGAGACAATCCAAGAACCTACCCAACTCACTAATGTAACCAAGCTGCCTGCCAATCCCTTCACGTTTATAGGAAATATCTGAACCAGTACAAATCCCAACGAATCAGAATCAAATCACTCAGCAGCCATCCCTAGTGACAATGAAGCTTCTAAGTTCATACCTCTGACATTATGACCCAAGGAATTGCTCCCATGCCCAACGAGAAAGATCCCTCGAACGTCTTTGTACAAATAACCAAGTCCAAGACAAAAATTACCAAAGGATTCCAATTATTAAGAACAGGAGACAGAGTAAAGCTAACAAGATTAACAACAACAACGGTATGATATTGTCCACTAAGCTCTCATAAGCTCTCACTTGGAGCATCTACCCTTTAATTAGTCGATGTGGGACTTTTCTCCCAACAATTCTTAACAATCCTCTCCTCGAACAAAGTACACTATAGAGCCTACCCTGAGGCCTATGGAGCCCTCGAACAGCCTCCCCTTAATCGAGGCACGATTCCTTCTCTGGAGCTCTCAAACAAAATACACTCTTGATTCGACACTTTAGTCACTTATGACTACACCTTCGAGACTCACAACTTCTTTGTTCGACATTTGAGAATTATATTGACATGACTAGGTTAAGGGCATGGTTCTGATACCATGTTAAGAACATGAATCTCCACAATGGTATGATATTGTCTACTTTGAGCATAAGCTCTCATGGCTTTTCTTTTGGTTTTCTCAGAAATTCTCATACCAATGGAGATAATATTCATCGTGGGACTCCTCTTCCAACAATCCTCATCAAATCTACTACAATTCATGATTCAACATGCCTCAATGAAGATGAATGAGCATGTTTTCACTTTTAGAACTATGAGAATTGTTCTATAAACCAAGAACTTCAAGCAAGTTTTTGAGCTAATCAACGTTACCAGTACACCGACAAAAGCCAACAAGGGAGAGTGAGATTGCCATAGTTGGAGATCCTGCACAGTCCAAATGATGGCTCTTTTAGAATATGATGATGAATCATGGAAGCTCCCAAGCACCTTCGTATTCAATGGCTGATAGAAGCTAGAAGTAAACCTTAAAGAGGAACGATAATCCCACACACAAACAACCCAAGCTAGTTCCAGCTGCAGAAATCTGTTTGAATACAAAGTTTTCATTAGCTTGTTCATCATGTCAGCCTAAACAACGAGCACTTGAATGACATACCATCAAAAGTGGTCGGCGTCCTGATATATCCATCAAAACTACACCAACAGAAGTCATTAATATCTGAAAATTCATCGGGGACAATGAGATAAAAGAGGGTTCTAGCAATCACATTTGAAGAACATGTATATAGCGATAGAAAAACCTGAATAACAGCCAATGATATAGTCCCAATATTCCCAGAAAGCCCTGTCCAAATCCAGAGGATTTTGTTCCTTTAAAGTAATCTAATGTTTTCTTATCACAACGACACTTGAATGCTTGAATTTTTCACATTACCAGCTGTTGTGAACAATGATTTTACATAGAATTTAATGCCGTTAACCCCTCCAAATTGTTGGAGTGCCATAAGGCCGACTCCTGCCTGACATAGTAGCTCAAAGTCATGATATAAACGAAGGACAAAGAGCTATGGAGTACTAAAAACTCTGAAATTGATATCAAATTCAAAGGCTCACAATGATAGAACGTGTATATTGCCTTTCGAATAACTCAAGAACACTTGCTTCAGGGAGCTGTTTAAGCAATTCTGTATACTCCTAGAAGATCAAGAAACACATATGAAGCCTTTGTTTGATAAAAACAAGTAAAGAGAAAGAACAAGAACGAAATGTACTTGAATCTCTAACACTTCTGCAGAAATATCTTTACTGTTCCCCCTAAGACGTTGGAGAGCAGCTTCACAATCTAATGCTCGATCGTTCTTTGCCTATAAACATTACTTATTTCATGATTAATTTAGTATTAGTTACATAACCATTTTACAAAAGACAACACTTTTAAGAACATAGCTGAGTTTCATTACATATTTTTTGGTAAAAAGAACATAATATCCACTTGTTCATGTCTCATCAAACAAATATAGGGAATAGAACCAGTTATGAGTTTGACAGTGTCACATACCAACCATCTAGGAGACTCTGGAATGAAGGGAAGCCCTAAAAGTTGTATTAGACAAGGAATTGCTCCTGCAACATGTTAAAATATCATCACTAGACCAATAGGGTCAAGTCCAATAATTGTGTGAGCTCATTAAAAATGAAATACAAAGCGCAGTGTGCAGCAATAGTTTAGTTTCTACAAAGTGTCTTGTAATCTCTTTTCGATTAGTCTTAATAAAGAGTGTAAGTGTTTCCCACAAAGAAGTATGTTCAACACAACATAAGCAAGATAATGAGAAAGCACTTCCCATTAAACCGTCTTCATTGCTAGCAACTACTCTGGTGACCACCTCTAGAGACCAACTCTGACGCTATCATCGGTGAGCAACCCCGGCAACCACCCTGATGGCCGCCTCTAACTACCACTCTGTGGGTGATTGACTTAACTGATCATAGTACTTTAAATACAAATTCGAACTTACTAGTTCATGTTGGTAGTCATCTTTTTTAGTAATATACATTAGTAGAAGTTTAGAGAAAGTGTAACGAAACAAACGAGGACCCAAAATTATATAAGTAGAAAGGGTACCAATTAGGGCAAGAGTCCTCCAGTTGAGGAAAGCTCCAATCAGCCATGTGAGAGAAATACCAAAACATATCATCAACTGTACAAACAACAAAATAAGGTATTATACATATAAAAGTGTAGAAATTCATAATGGTTTTCCCTTTTACCTGATGAACTGTCGTAAATGCTCCTCGAAGTTCCTTTGGTGTTATTTCTGCTATGAACACAGGAACCTGCTCGATCATTGCATACATCAGCTTTTCTTTTTGTATTTGAACATTAAAGGTATTGAAAAATCAGAAAGAGTTGGAGTTCTTAGCAACATATACCACATAAGAGATAACTCCCATTCCGAATCCTACGAGCATTCGCCCCATATCCAACCACCAAGCAACCTATCAGCAGTCCAGTGAGGTTTTTGAAGATGGAGAGAAACTCGAAAGTAAAACCACGAAGATTGAAACGGACCTTAGAGAATGCTATAAACAACCATCCCGAGAGGCAAAAGATCTCTGCAAAGCCCATTGTCTGCACACAAAACGAGGAACAGAGGATCAAAGAAGTTTACTGAAAGCTCGAAATCTCCAAGAATGGAAATCTGTTATAAGAGACAAAAAGAAAAAAGAAGAAAAGGAAAATGGGAATGAATGAACTTACACCTCTTCTACCAATATAATCTGCCAGTTTTCCGCTCACAATAGCTCCAATCATTGCTCCAATTGTCAATACTGACCCAAACACTGAATACTGATACACAATCAACAAAGTTACATCAATTGCATCCTTGGTGAACAACTTATAAAACTTCCCTACTCGGTTTTAAGTGTTTAATAGATTCTTAAACTTTTATGTCCATGGGTAGGCTTGACTGTGTAATCTCTGTCTCCGATCCCGTTTAACTAAACGAGAGAATTCCCTCTCTCTACTCCCTTCTCTATTCTCCGTTCAGGTTGGACCTGTGGCGGGACTCTTGACGGATCTATTGATGACAACCCTCAAAATTGCATTTAACCCATTAAAATTGAATCCGAGCATAAAGCATTGGGTGATTTCATAATTTTTTTAGTATAGAACCAAAACGCAATCATATATACCAGAAATGAAGAACATAAGATGATGAAATGAAGAAAAAGAAGCAGATGCAATCTGAATTCACCTCTGATACAGTAAGAGCCAGGTCAGTCATGATGCCAGACTGAGCAGGTGATGAATATCCAATCTGACAAGAAACAAAAAACATCACAAACCCATTATTTTCAAATCGCTCGGAATTATGGGCAAAGAGTTGTTACCGCTGTCCCGAAAACGTATGAGCCAGATACAGCAACCAGAGTGGTGACAATGATGGCGAAGGTAGCGCCGCCATGCATGTCATGACTCCGGGGCTCGATTAGAGGATACGAATCGCCTTTCTCGTCGCTCTGTAGGCCCATCTTCGAGGTAGCGGCGTAGCAGAATGACAAGAAAAAATAAATGGGAGATTATGGGAATGATTAATAGAAATAACTGATTTTTTATTTTTATTTTTATTTTTATTTTTATTTTTAACGAGTCAATTATATAGAAATAGAAAGCGAAGGAAATGGTGGTGGTTGGATAATGTACTAAAAAATAATAATAATAATAAACCTAATTTAACTAATTTAACTAACTTTAAGACAAGCAATAGAAATAAATTTAATTTATAAAATTAAAGTATTACAAGTTTGTAAATAACACTAAGGATCCCACGGAAACATTAGATTATAAACAAGTATAAAAACTCATACAATAAAATATATATAATTGAAAGTTTAGAGCCTCACAGTGTCACTGTCGTACATCTCCAACTATGTGGCGTCGTGATCTTTATATACTCATGAAAAGTCTTAAGGGGAACTCAAGTCTCATTCACATTTTTCGCCCCGCTTTGTGGCTTTGTCAGACCGCTGGGAAGGTTTGCTTTTGCCAACCAAACAAAGCTCGTGCGGAATCTAAGCTTGTTCGGTCACACATGTCATTTGTGCATGTATGTTCAATAGTTGCGACACAACAACACCGCATCTCATTGTCATCTCAGTTCCCAATAACACGACCAATGCATTGTGATATCGTTCCATGTCTCAAGACACATCGATCATCTTGGCTTGCTTGGACACATCCGTTGGGAATTGACCCATGTGTCGATCATCTCATCGAGATATCTTGAACATCCATCCATCTGGGTTCACTCGAGTATCGGACTCTCTCGTGTCCATGCTAAACTATTTACCGCATACGTTCCAAATAGCGGGTACATATGCCAACCTCTGACACGTGAGCTAGAGCATAATACTGGCACACCTGTGTCATCCAGTACTATCCTTGAAAGAGTCTTTTCAAAGGAAGACGTATGAGATGCTCGCCCACGCTGTGACACACACATGTATCATATGGTAGCTCGCTTAGGCCACATGGCCCGCGAGTGGTGGGGAGCCAACACTATGCCTCCTCCTATATTACATTTTGAGGTATTTTCATAGTGGTAAGTGTAGACATGATTTTAGTGAACGAGCATACGGTGTCGTGGAGCGTCTGTCCGATGTCCGATTGACACCAAAATTGGCAAGCTTTCATATTTCATTTGGACGGGGTTGACTCGAGAATCGCATGCCTAAATTCCCTTTAGAACCTCAACTTTCGAGGTTAAACTCCAAATCCTACTCGACCCGACCCTTCAACAAGCCTATCTGTGATGCTCATGTCTACTCATTATCTCTATCTTTTTTATGCCTCATTTCCTCTTCAATGCACACATTATATGATCTGTTAGATGATCCATTGTCCTCCTCGATCGCATCATGACATTCTTCTATAGTGAACCTCATGTGATTGAATGGGCACCTCTTGAGGGTTGCCTCTTTGTTTGTCTCAACATGAGGGTCACAACCTACTTTGTTCATAATATGGTTGTGACACACAACACTCTGGTCTATCATAGCTCCATTTCCCATCGACTTTGGTACGCACTTGTTTAAAACATGCAATCTCAAGTACCATCTAAAGAAGAAAGAGTAGCACGAGTGAGTTTGAAAATACTTAGTAAGTAGCTCACTTATAGGCTTTTAATCCGTCGTAAAAATTATGAACCTATATAACATCTTTTCAAGACTTTAGGTCTTTCAAAGATTCACATAAAAAAAATCTCATAGGTCATAGGTCATAGTCCATTATATTATGGTAAAGACTCGATCAACTCATCTTAGACCATCTCGATCATCTGAGTCTTACCTTTGATTCAATTTTATTAGCTCGTATGAGCTCATCATAAACATAGGAATTTCATTTCAAGTTCTGATAATGTAATAACCCTCTTTTCAAGGCTTCAAATCATAAACTGTCATATATTGATATATCGGTTAAAAAGACTCGATAAAATGTTTCAGTTTTTAAAATAAACGGCGACACGACACGACGGAATTAAAAAATTTAAATCAAAATGCATTAATTTCATAAAATATTAGGATACAAAGTACATAAGTGGAAGTTAGTTACAAAAAGAGTTCAAATATTCTAAGTATAAAATACAAAATCGAAATAGAGATCTATTGGGTCTTCTTGTCTCATGCTCTCGAATGCTCTCATCTCATCGACGGCTACCTCATGAATCATTTGAATCAGAAAAGTAGCATAAGTGACGTTTGTTGCCTCTAATTGATCTTTGTTATTGTTATATACCACATATTTAAATTACCGACTTCTTGAGATTATTCACAGAGTTTTGTAGCCCCGAGTGAGCTTCTGCAAGGCACAATGTCCTCTAACTTTCTATCTCTTGAGTTTTGACCCAATCGGGGACCTTACTGAGCTATTGATCTCCATCCCATAGTCTCTCAAGTATTTTCCCTATCTGGGTACTAATCATCTCACGATGTCTTGTACTCGACTCCTTCCGAAGTACGCCTACACCCAGGGGTTCTCTACGGGGTCTTAGGGTAAGCAGTTAGCCTTACTAATAAATTGTTATTTCTCGCCTCACACACCCAAGTGTGATGTATTTATGAGGTGCAACCTCTAACTATTTTAAAATATTAAGTTCTTGAGACATTATGAAAAATATCATTCAATAATGGTCCATTAAAAGGGATTAATTGGCGACTCATTAACATTGTCTTTCATAATTTGAGAGTGAGCGACTCTCGTGTCTGCCAAGCTAAGATTCATGCAAACCTTTACCCATGTGGGCAAATTCGCAACCAAAAGATAGTTGGAGATCTCTCGATTGTCTCCACAAGAGTTCTATCTGTCACACATACTATACTTAGGGAACAACCATCGCTAATCCAACTCCTAATAATCTACTACGAACAACTACATACCCCGTCACTATGATAGATTCATTAGTAAAAGCTACTAGCTCGACTACTAATCCCCACACCGTTATATAACTAGAAGATGAGTGACCCTGTAATTAATACCACCATAAAGCCTTGCCCCAATTCACGATGAAGGATGAGTTGGCTAGACCCCTAATCATCCTCGCATGACAATCTACGACTGAAACTATGAACATTCGACATAACCTAAATCGTGTATGAATTCAAATCTTGGAGCTTTAACTTGGTACTACTAAAAGATCCTTTGGATCCGTATTGCACTTATGAGTCAAAGATCGTTCCTACATTTCCAAACAAATACTTTTGTATAATGAGTCCCGATAATCTGAAGTAACAAAACTCACATTTTTTTAGCTCAACAATAGCGGTGGTAAATAATTCAAGCCTTGACTTTCTTAGTTGATGGTACATTATTTAATTACCTAAACCGAGCACAATGTAGCTAGTATATTTGATTATCAGTTAAAAGTATCATGTCAAACAAAGAGCATCGTGCAAAAAGTCAAATTCCAAAAATGCCCTCGACCACCAAGTGTGAAATGGTAATTTTACACCCATACATAACGGACAAAGAACTCGTAACCTTGAGGCAGAAACAAAAACGAAAAAAGGGAATATGTTTTTTTTTTTTTTTTTTTTTGGTT